CTGCTCCGCCTCCTGCTCCGCCTCCTGCTCCGCCTCCTGCTCCGCCTCCTGCTCCGCCTCCTGCTCCGCCTCCTGCTCCGCCTCCTGCTCCGCCTCCTGCTCCGCCTCCTGCTCCGCCTCCTGCTTCCGCCTCCTGCTCCGCCTCCTGCTCCGCCTCCTGCTCCGCTCCTGCTCGCCTGCTCCGCTCCTGCTCCGCCTCCTGCTCCGCCTCCTGCTCTCCGGCCTCCTCTGCTCCGCCTCCTGCTCCGCCTCCTGCTCCGCCTCCTGCTCCGCCTCCTGCTCCGCCTCCTGCTCCGCCTCCTGCTCCGCCTCCTGCTCCGCCTCATGCTCCGCCTCCTGCTCCGCCTCCTGCTCCGCCTCCTGCTCCGCCTCCTGCTCCGCCTCCTGCTCCGCCTCCTGCTCCGCCTCCTGCTCCGCCTCCTGCTCCGCCTCCTGCTCGCCTCCTGCTCCGCCTCCTGCTCCGCCTCCTGCTCCGCCTCCTGCTCCGCCTCCTGCTCCGCCTCCTGCTCCGCCTCCTGCTCCGCCTCCTGCTCCGCCTCCTGCTCCGCCTCCTGCTCCGCCTCCTGCTCCGCTCCTGCTCCGCCTCCTGCTCCGCCTCCTGCTCCGCCTCCTGCTCCGCCTCCTGCTCCGCTCCTGCTCCGCCTCCTGCTCCGCTCCTGCTCCGCCTCCTGCTCCGCCTCCTGCTCCGCCTCCTGCTCCGCCTCCTGCTGCTCCGCCTCCTGCTCCGCCTCCTGCTCCGCCTCCTGCTCCGCCTCCTGCTCCGCCTCCTGCTCCGCCTCCTGCTCCGCCTCCTGCTCCGCCTCCTGCTCCGCCTCCTGCTCCGCCTCCTGCTCGCCTCCTGCTCCGCCTCCTGCTCCGCCTCCTGCTTCCGCCTCCTGCTCCGCCTCCTGCTCCGCCTCCTGCTCCGCCTCCTGCTCCGCCTCCTGCTCCGCCTCACTGCTCCGCCTCCTGCTCCGCCTCCTGCTCCGCCTCCTGCTCCGCCTCCTGCTCCGCCTCCTGCTCCGCCTCCTGCTCCGCCTCCTGCTCCGCCTCCTGCTCCGCCTCCTGCTCCGCCTCCTGCTCCGCCTCCTGCTCCGCCTCCTGCTCCGCCTCCTGCTCCGCCTCCTGCTCCGCCTCCTGCTCCGCCTCCTGCTCCGCCTCCTGCTCCGCCTCCTGCTCCGCCTCCTGCTCCGCCTCCTGCTCCGCCTCCTGCTCCGCCTCCTGCTCCGCCTCCTGCTCCGCCTCCTGCTCCGCCTCCTGCTCCGCCTCCTGCTCCGCCTCCTGCTCCGCCTCCTGCTCCGCCTCCTGCTCCGCCTCCTGCTCCGCCTCCTGCTCCGCCTCCTGCTCCGCCTCCTGCTCCGCCTCCTGCTCCGCCTCCTGCTCCGCCTCCTGCTCCGCCTCCTGCTCCGCCTCCTGCTCCGCCTCCTGCTCCGCCTCCTGCTCCGCCTCCTGCTCCGCCTCCTGCTCCGCCTCCTGCTCCGCCTCCTGCTCCGCCTCCTGCTCGCCTCCTGCTCCGCCTCCTGCTCCGCCTCCTGCTCCGCCTCCTGCTCCGCCTCCTGCTCCGCCTCCTGCTCCGCCTCCTGCTCCGCCTCCTGCTCCGCCTCCTGCTCCGCCTCCTGCTCCGCCTCCTGCTCCGCCTCCTGCTCCGCCTCCTGCTCCGCCTCCTGCTCCGCCTCCTGCTCCGCCTCCTGCTCCGCCTCCTGCTCCGCCTCCTGCTCCGCCTCCTGCTCCGCCTCCTGCTCCGCCTCCTGCTCCGCCTCCTGCTCCGCCTCCTGCTCCGCCTCCTGCTCCGCCTCCTGCTCCGCCTCCTGCTCCGCCTCCTGCTCCGCCTCCTGCTCCGCCTCCTGCTCCGCCTCCTGCTCCGCCTCCTGCTCCGCCTCCTGCTCCGCCTCCTGCTCCGCCTCCTGCTCCGCCTCCTGCTCCGCCTCCTGCTCCGCCTCCTGCTCCGCCTCCTGCTCCGCCTCCTGCTCCGCCTCCTGCTCCCCTCCTGTCCCCTGCTCCGCCTCCTGCTCCGCCTCCTGCTCCGCCTCCTGCTCCGCCTCCTGCTCCGCCTCCTGCTCCGCCTCCTGCTCCGCCTCCTGCTCCGCCTCCTGCTCCGCCTCCTGCTCCGCCTCCTGCTCCGCCTCCTGCTCCGCCTCCTGCTCCGCCTCCTGCTCCGCCTCCTGCTCCGCCTCCTGCTCCGCCTCCTGCTCCGCCTCCTGCTCCGCCTCCTGCTCCGCCTCCTGCTCCGCCTCCTGCTCCGCCTCCTGCTCCGCCTCCTGCTCCGCCTCCTGCTCCGCCTCCTGCTCCGCCCTCCTGCTCCGCCTCCTGCTCCGCCTCCTGCTCCCTCCTGCTCCGCCTCCTGCTCCGCCTCCTGCTCCGCCTCCTGCTCCGCCTCCTGCTCCGCCTCCTGCTCCGCCTCCTGCTCCGCCTCCTGCTCCGCCTCCTGCTCCGCCTCCTGCTCCGCCTCCTGCTCCGCCTCCTGCTCCGCCTCCTGCTCCGCCTCCTGCTCCGCCTCCTGCTCCGCCTCCTGCTCCGCCTCCTGCTCCGCCTCCTGCTCCGCCTCCTGCTCCGCCTCCTGCTCCGCCTCCTGCTCCGCCTCCTGCTCCGCCTCCTGCTCCGCCTCCTGCTCCGCCTCCTGCTCCGCCTCCTGCTCCGCCTCCTGCTCCGCCTCCTGCTCCGCCTCCTGCTCCGCCTCCTGCTCCGCCTCCTGCTCCCCTCCTGCTCCGCCTCCTGCTCCGCCTCCTGCTCCGCCTCCTGCTCCGCCTCTGCTCCGCCTCCTGCTCCGCCTCCTGCTCCGCTCCTGCTCCGCCTCCTGCTCCGCCTCCTGCTCCGCCTCCTGCTCCGCCTCCTGCTCCGCCTCCTGCTCCGCCTCCTGCTCCGCCTCCTGCTCCGCCTCCTGCTCCGCCTCCTGCTCCGCCTCCTGCTCCGCCTCCTGCTCCGCCTCCTGCTCCGCCTCCTGCTCCGCCTCCTGCTCCGCCTCCTGCTCCGCCTCCTGCTCCGCCTCCTGCTCCGCCTCCTGCTCCGCCTCCTGCTCCGCCTCCTGCTCCGCCTCCTGCTCCGCCTCCTGCTCCGCCTCCTGCTCCGCCTCCTGCTCCGCCTCCTGCTCCGCCTCCTGCTCCGCCTCCTGCTCCGCCTCCTGCTCCGCCTCCTGCTCCGCCTCCTGCTCCGCCTCCTGCTCCGCCTCCTGCTCCGCCTCCTGCTCCGCCTCCTGCTCCGCCTCCTGCTCCGCCTCCTGCTCCGCCTCCTGCTCTCCGCCTCCTGCTCCGCCTCCTGCTCCGCCTCCTGCTCCGCCTCCTGCTCCGCCTCCTGCTCCGCCTCCTGCTCCGCCTCCTGCTCCGCCTCCTGCTCCGCCTCCTGCTCCGCCTCCTGCTCCGCCTCCTGCTCCGCCTCCTGCTCCGCCTCCTGCTCCGCCTCCTGCTCCGCCTCCTGCTCCGCCTCCTGCTCCGCCTCCTGCTCCGCCTCCTGCTCCGCCTCCTGCTCCGCCTCCTGCTCCGCCTCCTGCTCCGCCTCCTGCTCCGCCTCCTGCTCCGCCTCCTGCTCCGCCTCCTGCTCCGCCTCCTGCTCCGCCTCCTGCTCCGCCTCCTGCTCCGCCTCCTGCTCCGCCTCCTGCTCCGCCTCCTGCTCCGCCTCCTGCTCCGCCTCCTGCTCCGCCTCCTGCTCCGCCTCCTGCTCCGCCTCCTGCTCCGCCTCCTGCTCCGCCTCCTGCTCCGCCTCCTGCTCCGCCTCCTGCTCCGCCTCCTGCTCCGCCTCCTGCTCCGCCTCCTGCTCCGCCTCCTGCTCCGCCTCCTGCTCCGCCTCCTGCTCCGCCTCCTGCTCCGCCTCCTGCTCCGCCTCCTGCTCCGCCTCCTGCTCCGCTCCGCCTCCTGCTCCGCCTCCTGCTCCGCCTCCTGCTCCGCCTCCTGCTCCGCCTCCTGCTCCGCCTCCTGCTCCGCCTCCGCTCCGCCTCCTGCTCCGCCCTCCTGCTCCGCATCCTGCTCCGCCTCCTGCTCCGCCTCCTGCCGCTCCTGCTCCGCCTCCTGCTCCGCCTCCTGCTCCGCCTCCTGCTCCGCCGCCTGCTCCGCTCCTGCTCCGCCTCCTGCTCCGCCCCTGCTCCGCCTCCTGCTCCGCCTCCTGCTCCGCCTCCTGCTCCGCCTCCTGCTCCGCCTCCGTGCCTCCTGCCTCCTGCTCCGCCTCTGCTCCGCCTCCTGCTCCGCCTCCTGCTCCGCCTCCTGCTCCGCCTCCTGCTCCGCCTCCTGCTCCGCCTCCTGCTCCGCCTCCTGCTCAGCCTCCTGCTCCGCCTCCTGGCTCCGCCTCCGGCTCCGCCTCCTGCCTCCGCCTCCTGCTCCGCCTCCTGCTCCGCCTCTGCTCCGCCTCCTGCTCCGCCTCCTGCTCCGCCTCCTGCTCCGCCTCCTGCTCCGCCTCCTGCTCCGCCTGTCCTGCTCCGCCTTCCTGCTCCGCCTCCTGCTCCGCCTCCTGCTCCGCCTCCTGCCTCCGCCTCCTGCTCCGCCTCCTGCTCCGCCTCCTGCTCCGCCTCCTGCTCCGCCTCCTGCTCCGCCTCCTGCTCCGCCTCCTGCTCCGCCTCCTGCTCCGCCTCCTGCTCCGCCTCCTGCTCCGCCTCCTGCTCCGCCTCCTGCTCCGCCTCCTGCTCCGCCTCCTGCTCCGCCTCCTGCTCCCCCTCCTGCTCCGCCTTCCTGCCTCTCCTCATGTGCCACCTATTCGAAACCCGCACCTTCTCATTCCCCTTTCAGTGCAGAAGCAGCGGGTAGCGGAACACCATGCCTGACGCCATGAGCTTCTCTGTCAGCTCGTGGCGAATACCCATGCAGCACTTCTATTCCTTCCCAGCCCACCTCTAAAAAACCCCACCACCTCATTTCACCGCACACGAGGTTCCCATCACATCACCTCTCACCACCGCTCCTCACCTCATCGAAGCAGAAGCAGAGGTAAACCATGCCCGATGCCAGCAGCTACTCAGTCGGTTCCTGCTGCGAACCTCCTAAACCTCCCAGTTCTGCTCATCAACACCCCTCCCATCACCTCTCAGCACCGCTGCTCACCTCATCAGTGCAGAAGCAGCGGTACACCATGCCAGACGCCAGCAGCTTCTCAGTCAGCTCGCGATAGATCTCATTGCGCTCTGACTGGCGGTACGGGCCCAGGGGACCGCCCACGTCCGGGCCTGTCACCAGTTACAGATGGCAGCGACAAGGAGAGGTGGCAGGGGACAGGGGGCGTGGGGCAGGGGGCAGAGGGCAAGGGTCAGGGGGCGGGGGGCAGGGGACAGGGGAGAAGAGGGAGAAGGTAAGCGGATGAAGACAGCTCGCGGGTAACTTTCCTTGCTCTGAACCCCTCCCCCTCATCCCTTCCCCCTCATCTCCCCCCTTATCCTCATCCCCCTCCCCCTCCCCTCCCCCTCTTCTGCTCACCATTGTCCCCTCCCCCTCCCCTCCCCCTCTTCTGCTCACCCTCGTCCCCTCCCCCTCCCCTCCCCCTGGTTCTGCTCACCCCTGTCTCGTTTCCTTCCATCCGTTCTGCTCGCCCTCCTCCCATCACCCCACCCTTCGCCCGCTTCCCCCGTTTTACTAACCCTCTTTTTCCTCCCCCCCACCGTTCCGCTCACCCTCATCTCATTACCCCTCCCCCACCCCCTCCCTTCCACTCACCCTCGTCCCAGTCGAGCCCCAGCCACCGCAGGTCGCGCACCATGGCGGCCTCGGACTCCGGTGTGGAGCGGTTCAGATCGGTGTCCTCCACGCGCAGCACGAACTTGCCGCCCGTCGCCCTGAGAGGCGAGGAATCGGGGATTTCGGGGGACGAAATTGGGATTTGGGCCAGAAGAAAGGAGAATGGGTTGCACGGAAGGGGAATGCCGTATGGGGGCAAACGAAGAAGCTACAGCCTCTATCAGCCGCGGGAGCAGTCTGCTGTGGAGGCTGGCCGTCAACCCTCGCAACCGCAGTCTGCTGCGACGGCAGGCCGTCAACTCTCACTTGCAGTCTCCTGTGACGACCGTCCGTCAAAACTCGCAACCCCAGCTCCTCGCTCAGGGAGGCGGAGACAGACGCTCGCGATCACGCGCACCCCATCTTCCGCTAGCATTTTCGGGTACGCAAAAGCTACTCACTGATTGGTACGAAACTCGTCAAAGCTAGAAAAAATCCATTCCGAGCTCCCCAGCTATCGACACTACCTGCATGAACTGGGTGTGCATTATAGGCGCCCTGCGTTATAGCCATCGGATTCGCCTTCAACTTCGACTACATTGGCTGGCCGAAACAGCTCATAACAAGCTAACGATGACCACGTCGCTAAATTCGCATGATGGCCAATAGCGTAATTTACGTGTGCTTAGGTTACTTTGTTGTCTTTTTTTCCCATTTTTTTCTCCTCCTCTTGTCGCATACAGTCGCACGCGCACCTCGCAAAGAGCCAGTTGAAGAGCGCCGTGCGAGCCCCGCCCACATGCAGGTTCCCCGTCGGCGACGGCGCGAATCGCACGCGCGGCTTCCCGTCGCTCCCCGCCGTCGCAGCATCGCAGCGAGCGCCACGACGGCTGGCGACGTGCCTCTGCGCGACGTGTGACGATTTGGCTTCACCCGAAAGGCTCACTTGGCTCAAACTGAGACCCGAAAAGAATGCCTTGGGAAAAGAACGGCTTCTCTGCGCCAATCGCTGCGCGGCTCTTCCGCCGAGCGACATCGCGACGGAGTACGGCGCTCTCGCCGCCGCCTGCGATACGGTCGCCATAGCTACCGCGTCTCGGATGCGAAAACGAATCGAGAATCGCGCTAAGCGTAATGGTAATCGTGAAGCGCGAGGGATTTACGCACAAGCTGCTACGAAGGTAACGACGAGACGAGACGCGAGCGAGTGAAGCTCGTCGGACCAGTGCAGCTGGGAATGGGAAATGCACGGCTATGGGGGAAATGGCTGCTACTGGGAGAACTGGAACTAGTAGGTTGTGGGGAAATTCTCGAGATTCCCAGCCTGCTCGTGTTGTGGAGAATCCCGAAGAATGGCGTTGGGGGTTGTTATTTGAGTTTACCGCGGTGAATTGCGATATTCCACGTAATAAGGCGTTTACTCTGAACGTTTTAACGTTTGGGTACGGTTTGAGCAACCAGGATTGCGTTTGGGTCGAAAAGGATGGCGAGACGAAATCGTGAGGCTGACGGGGCGTGGGGAAGCGTGAAACGAGAGAGCGCCACGTGGAGTTTTCAACATCGCGAGCTGATAGGGCGTTGCGTGGAAAGAGGATGTATCTCGACCCAGTTAGTGGCAGACTCTGCAGAACTGCTATATGCTTGTATATCGTGTTCTGATGCGTATTCCTAATGCTTAGAGGCGTAGATCAGTCAAATTAGTGAAAATTGTCATTCTGGTAGAATACATTGCCAACGGATGATAGAGCTTCTTGGAATAACCAACCCAGACATATGATCCCACGATTTTTCACTCAATCTTCACAACGCTGCTCAAATACCGACCAATCTCAATAGCGTTCTCATACCCTCCCTCAACACACCAACTCAGCGCAACACCCGTCAAATAATTCCCTCCAAGAAACACCCCTTCCATCTCTGCCTCTTCGATCCCTGTCTTTGCCGCCTCTATTCTTGCAAGGTGGCCAATATTAAGCTGGGGAACGGCTCGCGGCCACACACGCACCCCGAGCGCCAGAGGAGGAGGCGCGGAGGGATGGAGGAGCGTGGTGCGCATGTCACGGTCCACTGCTGCTATGAGGTCTGTGTGGGACTGGAATGGAGAGAGGCAGGGGCATGGAGAGGGCAGGAGAAGGGGGAGAGAGGGAAGATAGAGATGGAGGGATGGAGGAGTGTGGGCGAGGCAGGGGCACGGAGAGTGCCGATCGGGAAAGCAGGCAGAGAGGGTGGGGAGGATGAGAAGACGCCTGGCGTGTGGATAAGTCTGGGAAGACAGCTGGTGTGGCACCCAGCTCGGGTGGGTTCTGCGCACGTGGAGGTGACGGGTAGGGAAGCAGCCGGACAATTGACCACCGCGCAGCGATGTACATGGCGCGAAGAAACGTATTCTTCTTGAAACACTACCCCATGCCACACAAGCCACACCAGCCACTTGGCACACTCAGGCCACTCACATACTTAACTTTCCACTCACCATTTCAGCAACAGCATCGTTCCCCGCACCGCCCACATAGCAGATGAACACCACGCGACCGTCAGGTGCTCTGTTGGGGAAGAGGGCAGAACTGTAGATGCAGCCTGGGTGGGGAAGAGGGGAGAGGAAGAGCAGTGATGGAGGGGCACAGGTGAGTGCGATGCTATCACGGTGCTAAGAGGTGCATCACTAAGCCTCTGAGAGTGCGGGTGCAGCTGCCCATACCCCCCAGCCCCCCCTCTCATCCCCGCTCCCTCTCACCCACTCTCTCCCACCACTTCCCCTCCTACACTCTTTCTCTCTCTCTCATCCCCCAACCTTCCCCAACTCTCTCTCCCACCTCTCCCCATCTCACCCAGTGTGGCCAGCCCCTGGGAGTATGGGTGCAGCTGTCCACAACCCCCTACTCTGACCAGATTGAGTTTGAATTTATCTGTCATGCATGTGTGACACGTGCCAGTGGTCTAGTGGTAGAATAGCACCCTGCCATGCAGCTCGGTGCAGACCCGGGTTCGATTCCCGGCTGGCACAACGCTTTCGTGTCCCACATGTTTTTTCCTCTTTCTAGAAAATAAACGCTGCCACAGATTTACCCAGCCCACACAGCACACCGCACTGCCACGTACAGACATCGTCCGCACTTCACCGTCACGCCGCACCCGGTTCAAAAACGATTCAATTTCAAGCCCAACGACAAAAAATTTCTGCTGATTTCGGGTCGTGCGCTCGCAGCCTCGCTTTGACGCTTGGCAGCGTGAAGCTGTGATTGTTGAAAAGCACTCCCCAGCTTTGTACTCTCCTCCCACCTCCCCCCATCTCACCTAGCGTCATCACTCCCTGCGAGCGCAGATGCAGCTGCCCATATGCGGTCAGCCCCCCTACCCTCCCAGCCCACACCCACCCTCTGGTTCCCACTCTCTCCCACCCCTTCCCCATCCGACTCTCAACCAACCCCGCAACGTCCCCACCCCTACCCCTACCTCCCCCCATCTCACCCCATCTCACCTAGCGTTGCTAGTCCCTGCGAGCGCGGGTGCAGCTGCCCATAACCTCACAGGCCCCCTGCCCTGGCAGCATCACGAGCCACATTCCCACTCTCCCCCCCGCTCGCACTCTCTCCCAGTCCCAGCAATCTCTCCATCTCACCCAGTGTGGCCAGTTCTTGAGAGCGCGGGTGCAGCTGCCCATACCCGCGCAGCCCCCCTGCTTGCCCCGCGCCCTCCCTGACGGCAGCAGCAGGGTAAGAGAGGGCCACGGATGCCATGGGCGGGTAGGGTATGGCTGCCAGCGCTGCTGCTGCTGTGGGCTGGGAGAGGGAAGAGGGAATGGGGGAGCGAGGGAAAGAGGACAGGGGGAGTTTTAAATTCGACTCATTCCCCTAGCCGCCCTGCCCCCTCCCTGACAGCAGCAGCTGGGTAGGAAAGAGCCACGGATGCCATGGGGGTATGGCTGCCAGGGCTGCTGCTGCTGTGGGCTGGAGGGGAGAGAGTGGAAGAGAAGGAAAAGGAGAGAGGGAGAGGTGTGAATCATGAATCGATTCAGAAGGCCCTTTTTCCGCCCCGTGCTTGACTGATGGCAGCAGCTGGGTAGGAGAGAGCCGCAGATGCCATGGGCAGGTAGGGTATGGCTTACAGCGCTGCTGCTGCTGTGGGCTGGAGGCGGGGGGAAGGGTGTAAGAGGGGAAGAGGGAAGGAGAGAGGTGAATTATCAATCGACTCACAAGCCCCCCTGCCCACCCCGTCCCCTCTCTGACGGCAGCAGCAGGGTAAGAGAGGGCCACAGATGCCATGGGCGGGTAGGGTATGGCTGCCAGCGCTGCTGCTGCTGTGGGCTCGGAGGGGGGGGGGGGACAGAGGGACAGACGTAAGGAAAAGGGTTGGGGGAGGGGAGAGGGTGGGTCTGTATGGGGGATTGGGGGAGGGGGAGAGGGCGGGGTGAGGGTGGAATGGAGGGAAGAAGTTTCCCGAGAGGAGGGAGGCAAGGTGGGGCGCATGAGAGGAAAGACTCTTGGCGTCACGCCTCTTTAAAGAGAGGCGTCATGCCTCTCAAAGGAGAGTGTGCTACTGATGGCACATCGGAGGACTTTTGACGACTGGAAATGGGGCAGAGTGCGAAAGTAGAAGCGAGGAGGGCGCGAGTGAAGCCGATGGAGTAGTGGATGGGGTTGGAGCAGTGGGGGTGAACGAAGACGGATGATTCAGAGAGAAATAGAGGGAGGGAGGAGGGGAGCACTCCATGTCGTCGTTCTTTCGACATACGCCTCCCCACACCCACACGAGACATGTTTACTGCTGGGGGGGAGCAGAGGAGAGTGCTGGGGGGGAGAAGGAAGAGCAGTGGTTCTCACAGAGAAAGCCCTGATGACGTCAGCAGCAACGTAAGCAGGCACGGTGAGCAGCACGGAGCGCGCGGCCACTCGTGTGGTGCCACGTGGCGTGTCGTATGTCAGCACAGCGCCCCCTCCTGCCCGCTGCTGCATGCCCACCAGCCGCCACCCCACCCGCACTCTGCTCCCCAGCCTGTGGGAGAGAGGGGTTCATGGATGGGAGGGGAGATGTGGAGGGGTGAGATGGGGAGGGGAGGGGAGAGGTGGAAAGGGGAAGATGGGAAAACAGAGTGAATTAAAGAGTGGAGGATGGCGCAAGTGGTGAAGGCTATTGTGGACGAACCTGGTCTGGTTCTACCAGTTGCTTTTTGTCCAGAGCTGCTGCTATTAGCCGACATCTATTGCAGTCAGCTTGCAATGCCATACCAGCCATTCCATACCATCCATTCCATACCATCCATTCCATACCTGCCATTCCATACCTGCCATTCCATACCTGCCATTCCATACCTGCCATTCCATACCTGCCATTCCATACCTGCCATTCCATACCTGCCATTCCATACCTGCCATTTCATACCTGCCATTCCGTACCTCCAACCTATTCACACACGCTACCCAAGCCTACCACCACCGCTGCCATATCTGCTACCAAACCTATCAACCAGCCCTGCCAATCCCACCTCCTGAACCTACCGGTCACCCATGGCGCTTGTGAGAGTGGCCAACCCTGCGCGGAATGACCCCACTGACTGGCCCTGAGGCCTGGGGAGACGACTGCAGGGGGCATGAGGGAGGAAGGGGGAGGGGACGTGGGATGGAGAGAGGGATGGAGAGGGGGATGGAGAGAGGGATGGAGAGGGGGATGGAGAGAGGGATGGAGAGGGGGATGGAGAGAGGGATGGAGGGGGGGATGGGGAGGGGGATGGAGAGGGGGATGGAGAGAGAGGGGGATGGGGAGGGGGTGGAGAGGGGGATGGGGAGGGGGGGTGGGAGCGGGGAGGGACAGGAAAATGTAAAGTGACAGAGAGCGCGAGGGAGGGAAGAGGGATGGAGGAGGGATGGAGGAGGGGATGTGGAAGGAAGAGTAGGAGAAATGGAGGAAAGAGAAGTGTGGTACATCCACAGGTGGGGGTGAACCTGTGAGGTGTGGGGCGAGGTAGAGCTGTGAGGTGTGGGGCGAGGTAGAGCTGTGAGGTGTGGGGCGAGGTAGAGCTGTGGGAAAATGGGACGAGTGAGGATACACGCGAAAACAAACACATGTCGGATGATTGCACGTACAAGTCTCGAGGCGCTGCCAGGTTTATTTCCCCTTCCCCCCCCCCTGCCTGGCTGAATCATCGCCCCCAGCAGCAAGCCCCCCTCTGTCTCCATGCGCCATGCCCCGTCACTACACACTCACAGGTCTCGAGACACAGCCGGGTTCTCATGCTCCTGCTTCTCCTTCCTCTCCCTGCCCAGCTGAATCACCCCCCTCTGCAGCAACCCCCTCTGGGCCTCCCATGCGCCATGCCCTGTCACTACACACTCACGGGTCTCAAGGCTCTTTCGGGCTCTCCTCCTCTTGCTGCTTTCTCTCCCTGCCCAGCTGCATAATCCCCCCCAGCAGCGACCCTCCTTCTGCCTGCATGCGCCATGCCCCTTGGCTGCATTCACAGGTCTCGAGCCTCTGAAGCGTTCTGTTTCTGCCTCCTCTCATTTCCGAGCTAAATCAGGCCGCCCAGCAGCGGCCCCCCTTCTGCCTCCATGCACCATGCTTGCTCATTGCACTCACAGGTCTCAAGGCTCTGCCGAGTTTTCCATCTCCATCCTCTCTTTCCCCAGCTGAAAAAACCCACCCAGCAGTTTCCCCCTTTGCCACCATGCGCCACGCCTCGGCACAGCATACTCACGGGTCTCGAGGCTCTGCCGGGTTGTCCTTCTGCTTCTCCTTCCTCTCCTTCCCCAGCTGAATCATGCCGCCCAGCAGCGAGCCCCCCTCTGCCTCCATGCGCCATATGCGGTTGAATGCTGCCTGCATGCTCATCTGCTCCGCATCCCCTGCGAATATGCCTGCAGGGGGGAAGGGGTAATGGGGGGAGGATACGGAGAGAAGGGAAGAAATGGCTGATCCTTTTTGCAAGTGAAAATACCAATTGCTTGGTTGCTTTATTGAACGGCTGTGTGTGCCATGACACATAGAAAGAACAACTGCTCTTGAAAGGAAAGCTTTGCAGACAGTCAGAGAAACAAAGCAGGTGCGTAAGAATCTGTGTCTCATTATGTGAGAACGAACTCAAACGCAGATGCACTGGGCTGCATTGAGTACAGTGTACGATTTTCTGAGTTTTCTCAAAGATCGCTCACGAAATATATATATACATATATATTATATGTATATACATATATATACACATAACGCTTCGAGAAGGAGACGGGCTCACGAGAGCAGAAAGATTGAAAGAGCTTTTAAAGTGCCTCGAGCAGAAGGGGGGAGCGGATGCACGAGGTGTGCATGCAGAAGGGCACACGAATTTCGAAACAGTTTCTCGTCCTCCTTACAGGAGCAGAAGGGGTCAACCAGGCGGTGCAGCAGCTGCGAGCCGAGGTTGCGCGTCACAAACTCTGACACACTCTCCTCCTTGCTGCCAGCTGGCTGGGGCGTGGAGAGGAGGGGGGGTGCATGGCACACATGGGTGCATGGCACACATGGACTCACTTAAACTCGGCAAGAAAAGAATCTTTACAAACTCTGACATAACAGCAGTTCCTCATCTGGGCTGGTCCAGTTTTCGTCTCACCAGCGGTGGTCTGATCCCCACGAACCCCAGTGCCGCCCGCAGCTTGCCGGCCAGCGTCAGCAGATCCGAGGAGATCAGATCGGCGGGACCCGAGGGAATGGGACGCAGCTTGCCGTCCCAAAAGACGTAGCGCGGAGCATCAGGCGCTCCCAGCACGAGATCAGACAGAATGCCACAGTCCAACTGTGGCGGTGGAGAGTGGGTGCGGGGTGAGGGTTGTGAGAAGGCAGTGGAAGCAGGTGCGTCAGGTGGACACGTAGCGAGGCGCCAAGGAATGGCCGGTTGGACACGTAGCGAGGCGCGTCAGGTGCCGCCGGCACGAGGTCGGAGAGAATGTCGCAGTCGAGCTGAGGTTTGTGAGGGGAAGGGGTTGGGTTGAGGGGGAAGGCAGTGGAGGCAGGGGGAAGGCAGTGGAGGCAGGGGGAACGGGAAGGGAAGCCAAGGAATGGATGGCTGGACACGTAGCGAGGCGCGTTGGGGGCTCCCAGCACGAGGTTGGAGAGAATGCCACAGTCGAGCTGTGGGGGAACGCGGAATGGCAATGAGCGCAGGGGGAAGGGAAGATGGGAACGCGCATGGAGCATTGGGGGCTCCTAGCACAAGGTCGGTGGAAGCTAGGAGGAACATGGGAATGGCGCGGTTGAGCTGTGTGGGGGAGACGAGGGCGATAGGCAACGGGGGCAGGTGCAAGGGGGTGGCAACAGGACCAGGCTGGCTAGAATGCCGACTAGAGCTGTGGGGTGGTTGGGGGTGGCAAAGGGGAGGAGCGAATGCAGAGGTGCAGGAGGCTATAGGGGGAGGCTGGAGCCAGCTCACTAAGTGTGCGCGGCAGAGGGTGGACGTGTGAGAGGAATGGAGCGGGAACGAGGGAGAGGCGATGAGGGAGAGAAGAAACGACAGAAAAAGGGTAAGAGAACAGAGAGGATTTAAATGGCGAGCTTGCGAGCAGCGGCACACAAGGACAAACGAAATTCAAATGACTGATGGTACGGTTTGATGTTCGACATAGCCCACAGCCCACTGCTGCATAATAGCACACCACAGTGCAGCATGGTAACCTGGTAACTCACACCACAGCGCAGCATGGTAACCCGGTAACTCACACCACAGTGCAGCATGGTAACCCGGTAACTCACACCACAGCGCAGCATGGTAACCTGGTAACTCACACCACAGCGCAGCATGGTAACCCGGTAACTCATACCAGCGCAGCATGGTAACCCGGTAACTCACACCACAGCGCAGCATGGTAACCTGGTAACCCATACCACAGCGCAGCGTGGTAACCCGGTAACTCACACCACAGCGCAGCATGGTAAACCGGTAACTCACACCACAGCGCAGCATGGTAGCCTGGTAACTCACACCACAGCGCAGCATGGTAACCCGGTAACTCATACCAGCGCAGCATGGTAACCCGGTAACTCACACCACAGCGCAGCATGGTAACCTGGTAACCCATACCACAGCGCAGCGTGGTAACCCGGTAACTCACACCACAGCGCAGCATGGTAAACCGGTAACTCACACCACAGCGCAGCATGGTAGCCTGGTAACTCACACCACAGCGCAGCATGGTAACCCGGTAACTCATACCAGCGCAGCATGGTAACCCGGTAACTCACACCACAGCGCAGCATGGTAACCTGGTAACCCATACCACAGCGCAGCGTGGTAACCCGGTAACTCACACCACAGCGCAGCATGGTAAACCGGTAACTCACACCACAGCGCAGCATGGTAGCCTGGTATCTCACACCACAGCGCAGCATGGTAACCCGGTAACTCATACCAGCGCAGCATGGTAACCCGGTAACTCACACCACAGCGCAGCATGGTAACCTGGTAACTCACACCACAGCGCAGCATGGTAACCCGGTAACTCATACCAGCGCAGCATGGTAACCCGGTAACTCACACCACAGCGCAGCATGGTAACCTGGTAACCCATACCACAGCGCAGCGTGGTAACCCGGTAACTCACACCACAGCGCAGCATGGTAAACCGGTAACTCACACCACAGCGCAGCATGGTAGCCTGGTAACTCACACCACAGCGCAGCATGGTAACCCGGTAACTCATACCAGCGCAGCATGGTAACCCGGTAACTCACACCACAGCGCAGCATGGTAACCTGGTAACCCATACCACAGCGCAGCGTGGTAACCCGGTAACTCACACCACAGCGCAGCATGGTAAACCGGTAACTCACACCACAGCGCAGCATGGTAGCCTGGTAACTCACACCACAGCGCAGCATGGTAACCCGGTAACTCATACCAGCGCAGCATGGTAACCCGGTAACTCACACCACAGCGCAGCATGGTAACCTGGTAACCCATACCACAGCGCAGCGTGGTAACCCGGTAACTCACACCACAGCGCAGCATGGTAAACCGGTAACTCACACCACAGCGCAGCATGGTAGCCTGGTATCTCACACCACAGCGCAGCATGGTAACCCGGTAACTCATACCAGCGCAGCATGGTAACCCGGTAACTCACACCACAGCGCAGCATGGTAACCTGGTAACTCACACCACAGCGCAGCATGGTAACCCGGTAACTCATACCAGCGCAGCATGGTAACCCGGTAACTCACACCACAGCGCAGCATGGTAACCTGGTAACCCATACCACAGCGCAGCGTGGTAACCCGGTAACTCACACCACAGCGCAGCATGGTAAACCGGTAACTCACACCACAGCGCAGCATGGTAGCCTGGTAACTCACACCACAGCGCAGCATGGTAACCCGGTAACTCATACCAGCGCAGCATGGTAACCCGGTAACTCACACCACAGCGCAGCATGGTAACCTGGTAACCCATACCACAGCGCAGCGTGGTAACCCGGTAACTCACACCACAGCGCAGCATGGTAAACCGGTAACTCACACCACAGCGCAGCATGGTAGCCTGGTAACTCACACCACAGCGCAGCATGGTAACCCGGTAACTCATACCAGCGCAGCATGGTAACCCGGTAACTCACACCACAGCACAGCATGGTAACCTGGTAACCCATACCACAGCGCAGCGTGGTAACCCGGTAACTCACACCACAGCGCAGCATGGTAAACCGGTAACTCACACCACAGCGCAGCATGGTAGCCTGGTATCTCACACCACAGCGCAGCATGGTAACCCGGTAACTCATACCAGCGCAGCATGGTAACCCGGTAACTCACACCACAGCGCAGCATGGTAACCTGGTAACCCACACCACAGCGCAGCATGGTAACCTGGTAACTCACACCACAGCGCAGCATGGTAACCCGGTAACTCACACCACAGCGCAGCATCGTAACCCGGTAACTCACATTAGAGTGCAGCATGGTAACCCGGTAACTCACACCACAGCGCAGCATGGTAACCCGGTAACTCACACCACAGCGCAGCATGGTAACCCGGTAACTCATACCAGCGCAGCATGGTAACCCGGTAACTCACACCACAGCGCAGCATGGTAACCTGGTAACCCATACCACAGCGCAGCGTGGTAACCCGGTAACTCACACCACAGCGCAGCATGGTAAACCGGTAACTCACACCACAGCGCAGCATGGTAGCCTGGTATCTCACACCACAGCGCAGCATGGTAACCCGGTAACTCATACCAGCGCAGCATGGTAACCCGGTAACTCACACCACAGCGCAGCATGGTAACCTGGTAACTCACACCACAGCGCAGCATGGTAACCCGGTAACTCATACCAGCGCAGCATGGTAACCCGGTAACTCACACCACAGCGCAGCATGGTAACCTGGTAACCCATACCACAGCGCAGCGTGGTAACCCGGTAACTCACACCACAGCGCAGCATGGTAAACCGGTAACTCACACCACAGCGCAGCATGGTAGCCTGGTAACTCACACCACAGCGCAGCATGGTAACCCGGTAACTCATACCAGCGCAGCATGGTAACCCGGTAACTCACACCACAGCGCAGCATGGTAACCTGGTAACCCATACCACAGTGCAGCGTGGTAACCCGGTAACTCACACCACAGCGCAGCATGGTAAACCGGTAACTCACACCACAGCGCAGCATGGTAGCCTGGTAACTCACACCACAGCGCAGCATGGTAACCCGGTAACTCATACCAGCGCAGCATGGTAACCCGGTAACTCACACCACAGCGCAGCATGGTAACCTGGTAACCCATACCACAGCGCAGCGTGGTAACCCGGTAACTCACACCACAGCGCAGCATGGTAAACCGGTAACTCACACCACAGCGCAGCATGGTAGCCTGGTATCTCACACCACAGCGCAGCATGGTAACCCGGTAACTCATACCAGCGCAGCATGGTAACCCGGTAACTCACACCACAGCGCAGCATGGTAACCTGGTAACTCACACCACAGCGCAGCATGGTAACCCGGTAACTCATACCAGCGCAGCATGGTAACCCGGTAACTCACACCACAGCGCAGCATGGTAACCTGGTAACCCATACCACAGCGCAGCGTGGTAACCCGGTAACTCACACCACAGCGCAGCATGGTAAACCGGTAACTCACACCACAGCGCAGCATGGTAGCCTGGTAACTCACACCACAGCGCAGCATGGTAACCCGGTAACTCATACCAGCGCAGCATGGTAACCCGGTAACTCACACCACAGCGCAGCATGGTAACCTGGTAACCCATACCACAGCGCAGCGTGGTAACCCGGTAACTCACACCACAGCGCAGCATGGTAAACCGGGAACTCACACCACAGCGCAGCATGGTAGCCTGGTAACTCACACCACAGCGCAGCATGGTAACCCGGTAACTCATACCAGCGCAGCATGGTAACCCGGTAACTCACACCACAGCGCAGCATGGTAACCTGGTAACCCATACCACAGCGCAGCGTGGTAACCCGGTAACTCACACCACAGCGCAGCATGGTAAACCGGTAACTCACACCACAGCGCAGCATGGTAGCCTGGTATCTCACACCACAGCGCAGCATGGTAACCCGGTAACTCATACCAGCGCAGCATGGTAACCCGGTAACTCACACCACAGCGCAGCATGGTAACCTGGTAACCCACACCACAGCGCAGCATGGTAACCTGGTAACTCACACCACAGCGCAGCATGGTAACCCGGTAACTCACACCACAGCGCAGCATCGTAACCCGGTAACTCACATTAGAGTGCAGCATGGTAACCCGGTAACTCACACCACAGCGCAGCATGGTAACCCGGTAACTCACACCACAGCGCAGCATGGTAACCCGGTAACTCACAGCGCACTGCAGCATGGCGTCGCTGGGTTGGAAGCTGTGAGGCCCCTCCTCCCACACATACCCCTCGCTCTCTGTGCCTGCCTCCCCCACCGTTGTAGTCACATTCCCGCCCACGCGCTCCCGCGCCTCCGTTACAAGCACGCGCGGCACGGCGTCCGCGTGCCGCGTCGCCAGCGCGAACGCCGCTGACAGCCCCGAAATCCCCGCGCCCACCACCACGCAATCCGCCTCTTCCGCGATCGCCGCTTCAGATCCATCCGCTTTATAAGAAGCCTCGGAATTCACTAAGGCTGTCTGCCGCCGCCATTTGCCTGTTCGCCGTGCGACAGTAACA